GTGGGTGGCAGAGAGAAAATGGAGCAACAGTCTTTATGTGGGAAGAAAAATACTACGAGCTGAGTTTTAAGAATGATGGAAGTCAGCAGTGTGTGGTGACTTGTGCCATCTTAGTGATCTTTTATTGTTTTATGTAAAGCACTTTGGTATGCCCAAGGCTTTTAAATGTGCTCTATAAATAAAGATTGTTGTTGTTGTTGTTGAGTGATTTAGTCGTGTAACACATGCACGAGCCAAACTAACCAGACTAAAACACAGCTCTCATTGATTTCCTGTTGCCCGTCTTTCCTGTGTTGGCAGGCTTTCTCCTGCATCTTCACCTTTCTGGTGCTATTATTTCTCTTAATATTAATGCATATACCTAATGAATACATGTGTTAATATACTTATTTCAAGTACTGCTGGCCATGCTTGCCCCTGACACGTCTGTGATGCACACAAAGTAGAACAAGAGCAAGTGGGAGTAAAATCTTGCATATGCATAAAGACATGTTAGAAAACCTGCATTTGAACACATAAAAAACTGCTTTGTTTGATCGTTTTATTGAATGATTTCAGACTCAAGACCGTCCATCTTGTTCTGGTGCTTACACCATTGACAGATTGCCAGTCTTCCAGGGCTAACACAAGCAATACTCAAAGTTATTTTATTATAAAAAGAATAAAAGCGTTCTGGATCAACTGAAGGCTTTTCAGGGATCTTTTAAAGAAACCTGATGATAATGAATTACAGAAGCCTGGAAGTAATGAATCCACAAACTGACCTGTTTAGTCTGCAGTAAAGTATCCGGTATTTTCAGGTTTCTGAATACTACAAAGCTGATATACTTCAACTTGTTTTACAGGAAGCTTCACAAAAGCATAATTCACGGACACGTGATGTGTGGATCCAAAACTGGATGAAGACATTACATGTAAGCTTTTTCCTACCTTTCAAAGTAATCTTTCGTCGTTCTTGCCGTTCCTGCTTTTCTTGCACGTTCTCTCTCATTGTGGGAAATGGAGCATCTGAACCTTTAGCTAGCTGTGGCAGCAAACAGTTTACGTGTTCGCTGACATTTGTTGAGCTGTTAGAAATGTTGTATTTGAAATTACCGGACACTCACTGAACCGTTACACCGATTACGCTCGCTCCTCTTCAACAGCTAGCTAAATGCTAAAGTTCGGTTTATGGACATCTGCACCAAACACATTGTTCCGGATTGTTCTGGACTACTTCGATCTCTGACTACAGTACAATACATGATGCATAGATTATGATTTGTGCCTCTTTTCCCTCTTTGTGTGGATTAAACACGTGATTGATACGCCAGCAGAATTGTTCCCTCAAATTAGATCTGAATCGGTTGAATGTTTGAAGGCGCTCAGTTATGGGAAATAATAACTCCCCTCAGATGTCTTGTAGCTGAAGTCGAGTCTGTTCTGAAGATGTAAATAGTAGAAAGTACATTTGTGTTAAACAGTGGCGAGTAACAACAAAAACGTGTCAGAAAGAAATACTCACGTAAAGTGCAGAGCCCTAAAAAGTCTACATTAGTACAATAATGAATAATTTATGTTTCTTCTGAATTATAATGATGAACAACGCCTACTCTAAAAAACAGAGAAACCGAAACCAAGCCAGTAATCTCCACTTCAACAGCATCAAACTATCCAGTTTAGGTTTACACAGAGGAGGTTAATAGTACTTTCTTAAAAATCAAAAATATGTCCTTTAAAGTGTGTGTATTACGAAATGTGTGTATTTTAAAAAGTACTACAGAGTCCTCTGAAACCTCCCCAGTTAATTACTGAAATTATGATAACAAATTTCATATTACAGTTTTAATTTTTGAAAATGCGCATGAGGTACTAATTTAACTTATAATTATTATTTCCCAGAGCAGAAATGTAACATGAATAAAACACGATTTCAAATCCATTTCTGTGGATTTACATGTTGGAGTCAAAAGGTTTTTACACAGAGAGGTTTGTTTTATCCGCTTCATGAATCAGGAAATACTTTTACAAAAAAATCAATTCTCACAGTGCTTTTTAATGAATGAGGTGTTTTATAAATATATGAATGGAAAGACTGAGGAGCAGATTTTGTGCTCAAAATCTGATTTTTTTTTTTTTTAACTGACCTTGAGATATAAGTAAAATATAATTCTTTTTATTTTTATATTGGAAACAAATGTTGACAGGTTACATCATTTAACTGAAACGTCACACTGAGGAAATGTTTATCTTTTATTAGCTGATTTCAATAAATGTCCAACAGAACAAGTAACGACCATAATTTGCATTTCAGGCGCTTTATTTCACCTTCAGAATAAAAGCCCCGCAGTAACAGCTTGCTGCCAGTAGGAGGTGTGATGTTCCACCAATGGAGAGACTCCTTTTAACAAGCCTGTGTCATTTCAGGTCAGGTGTGTGTGTGTGTGTGTGTGTGTGTGTGTGTGTGTGTGTGTGTGTGTGTGTGAAATCAGGTACAATAAAAGTCAATTACTTATGAAGATTTCAATCATTAGGAATATTAAACATCTAATATCATCATCTAATAATGTCGCGTGGAACCCGTGTAGCTCCAAATTGCCCGAGTTTTCATTAGCTGAGAAAGACCTGCTCACTCCTGGAAATACATTTTTCAGTTAACATAATGACTTTTAAAATAATTGATTCTAATTAAGAGGAAGGAGAATTTTCTCAACCCGTAGAGGAACCATTATACTCTGAATTAATTTTAATAATTTAGTGATGCATGCTTTACAAGTGGTAAAATAAAGACGTCTAATACAACATATATTAGATATGTGGCATATCCTAATATCACTATTTGCATGACTGCAGTTTAATTCCTGCTCACAGATGCTACACGGCACTTTTCTACTTATTTGTTTTAAAGATTATTGATTGAGTGATGATGCCTCATGTTAATGATCAGGATTCTAATGGAGGGATTATGTCATTTAGATGAGCACTGATGACTGTAACGATTATTACCGGTGAGGGTGCTGACTTTATAGATGTATATTGATGAAGATGACAGTGTGAACCCCTCTTACATTCAAAACTGAAAACATTAGCGAGGTACGCGTGGATTGGCTGAATTTGTAATTGGCTGGAGAGTGTACATGTTTGTCCACAGATTCACAGTCAACTGCATAAAAGTGACGGAGCTGCAATCAGTCGGAGCTCATTTTAGATCCTCGTCAGCTCAGAAACATATTTGGGTGCAGAAGTAATAATAAGCTTCACAGTTTTCCCAGTCCAGCTGCTCTAAACACACTCATTCATGCACATTTTAACAAATTAGCAAAGGCTAATGGTGAAGCCTCATTAACCAAAACATCATCTGCGCTCACATAAACTCACTCGATGTTGTGGTGTATCTGCACAAGCACTCAGTTTGATGTGAAACCTCATCAGCACCTGTTCAGTAAGAGAACGGGAGGAGTACAAATCAGACTAACTGCAATAAGAGTAATGCTTCAGTTTGTTTAAGTCACTCTTGTTCCTGCAGATTCTACTGAGTCTATTAAAGAATCTATTAAACGAATCTCACTGCGGTCTGCTTTTCTCTGCTGGTGAATATTCTTTTATTCATTTGACTCGTCAGATACCCCTGCGGATACTTTTGTCCCTTCTGACACTCCGTACAAAGAAAGTGTGCGGGGAATCCAGAGGAGCTGTCCGGACCCGCGTGGTGCTGAAACCGTCAGCTGGAAGGTTCCTCTCGGGTTCCTCAGCAGAGCTAGACTTAACCGAACAATTAAAAGACATTTCTGAGTCATTCGCAAGAAATATCCTTTAATTGTAAGGTCACGTCTAGCAGTCTTGCACGCAGGGTGGCAGCCATCCACAGTCCGTCACAGCCCCGGTTCACCTGGAATGACATCGGGGGAGAGGTCATGACGTCACAGTGTCACAGTCAGTGGTTTCAAGTCACCAGAAAACTCGCAGAGTGACGCGTGCAGTGGAGGCATCCTCCCCACGGTGTGAGAGAACCGCAGCTTCAGGGCTGCTGGGAGACACTCACCTGCCTTCATCACTCCCCTCCTCTCCCTCGCAGCGTGTCTGTGCCACGGTGCGTCCACGCATAAAAAAAATAAATAAAACCAAACCCCACGAGTCTCCGCGTTTGGTTCTTTCCCGCTCCGTTTCTGTAGAGCCTCCACTCGGCGCTGGGGGAAGATTTTACGCACGCTGCGACGCCCAAAACCTGTGTGTGTGACACCCGGAGCTCTGAGTACGTCACGGGTTACAGGTGTTGCGGTTGCGAGGGAACCGCTTGAAAGAGGAACTTGTTTGGTTTTTAGGGTGGTGTAAACCTCCGACAGTGCGCAGCGCGTCACCCACGACCTATCCAAGCCGCCCGGAGGAAGCGCAGATCCGCGCTGCTGCTCCACTCCAACACATTCATTCATACAAACCCACGCAGACCCACGAGAAGCACGAGACGTTTGCGACAGAGGAGCCGCGTGCTCTTCGTCTTTCTGTCACCAGAGAGCAAAAAGAAAAACGCGACACATCGCGCGGGTCTTGGATTTACGCACGGACACCGCGGTCAGAGTCACGCGACGTGACCGAACAACACGCGGGCAGCACGGCCACCGCAGCGGCCGCGGAGTGTCCGTGAACTCCGGACGGAGGGATAAGCGCGCCGGGCTGTCTCGAGTTCATCACCGGCTCCACTCGGTAAAGACAAATAAAAGCGACCCACGAGTCACGAGCCCACTTGCCACCAAGCCAGAGTCCAGGGCGCCACCACCTCCGCACGTCTCCTTCGCGCTGCGCTCTCATCCATCCCTCCATATCCATCTCCAGCCCTCGCCTCTCTTTTCTCCGGTCGGGCTTACAGCGCCGTAGATAGAGGCTCCGCAGTCACGTGGGTCGGAGGAGAAGGACCGAGAGAGAGCGAGAGAGAGGGAGGGGGAGAGAGAGAGAGAGCGTCCCTCCTCCTCCGCAGTTTGCAGTGTGTTATGTCTCATACTCGGAGGTAGAGAGTCAGAGCTGCTCGTCCGGCGGATCTCAACCTCTGAATCCAACCCCCGTGTCTTCTCTCATCCTTCCCCTCTCCCCTTCTCGCTCACCCGGGTTGCTTTCTCTCCGGAGCCGCGGGAGCTTCTACGTCTTCTTTCTCTCGACTTCGGCCAACAGTTTGCTCTTTTTGGATTTGGGTTTTTCTTCTTGGACGTTTTGACGAGTACTCGCTGCTGATTTCACTCAGCACTGCTCCTCGCTGCTGCCGCTGCCGCCGCTGCTGCTTCTGCCGCCGCTGCCGCTTTTACGCACCGACGCTTATTTTGGATTTGCTCGGCAGCACCGCTGGAGAAAAACAGAGAAAGACAATAAGAAGCATAAAGCGAGGTGGATCCGTGGATGCGCCCCTTTGGCTCACGCTGGAGATGGAAACGCTGATATTGTTATTTCATTCCCTGTGGATATTGCAATGCAACACTGTGAGCGCCGACTCCATCATTCACATCGGTAAGAACCGGCCGGGGCGCCTCTCCTGCTGCAGGCAGAGCCGTGCCCACGGCTCCACGCACGAAGGGAAATTTGCTGTTTTAAGTTGAGTCGCTGAAGAATTATCGTTCCGATTCGTGCCAGGGTAACGTGTAGGGAGGGGGGGCTGTTGCATCCAGCCTCAGACCCACGCAGCGCAGACCTGCTAGAAGTGCCCGCAAAGTGTTGCGCCGCGCCATCCCACCACCCCTGCATCTCATCCACAACCCCTCCATCCTTCCCAGAGAAGGATGCGTTAAAAAAAAACCCAAATCTGAGGCTGGCAGGAGAATCTGGCCCGACGTGGGTGTTTGGAGGGTTTAGTTTCACCCATCCGCCTCCCTCTCCCCTTCTTCCTCCTTCACCCCTCTCCCCACTCCCTCGCCTCCCCTCATCTATAAGCCTGAACTTTGAATTGGACGTGAGTGAAATGTTAATAAAGCGCTAGGGGAAGAGATGACAAAGGGGACAAACACCGACTGTTCGGGCTGTGAGCGCCGCTCTCTGCTCGTGCGTCCTTCTTGATATGATAATCCGGAGATTCTAGTCAAGACACTTTTTTTTCTTTCTGTTTTTAGTCGAAAGAATTGAGGGAGGATGCAGTGAAGTCAGTGAGAGGGGGAAGGCTGACACGCAAACTCACAGCAATCACGCACTTCTCACTTAAACTCCCCAGTTTGCACTAATTCCACTCAGAGGCTCCGCTCGGCCTTGAGGTGGTTGGATGCAGCACGCCTGCAAACCAGTTTAGAAAAGGAGAAATTTCAAATATTAAATAAATAAATAAGAGTAATCAGGTCTCTCCTGCAGCTTCGGCCATCGAACAGGGCCGGCAGCAGCACTGCGGTGGCCTCATGGTTGGAGCCAGGAGAGGGAAGAGAGAGAGAAGCGGATGTGGTTGGAGGTTGTAGAAAGAGCAGGGGTTGGTGGTGGTCTCTCTCTGCGTGTGTGTGGTGGTGGTGGTGGTGGTGGTGGGGGTGTTAGAGCTATTGAGTCTCAAATGAATGCACTTCCTACTTGACTCTATGACATGTTGCTTCTGAAACGTTGCATCTCCATTAAGAGAAAACTAAAATGTCATTCCTGCTGTGATGAAAACATCAGCACACACACACACACACACACACACACACACACACACACACACACACACACACACACACACACACACACACACACACACCAGTAACATGAGGTGAGTCTTTGTTTCAGCACTGAGATGGAGATGGCTCGTGTGGCAGATTGCTTTGTGTGCCAGCTCTTTAGGTTTGGCTTCGTCCTTATTTGTACATGCACAGATGACACTTGGAGGAATTAAAACCTGTTGTTGGCCATTTTTCAGCAGCTCCTCGTTCGCCACAGAATGAATCTCAGAGTGTAGATGGAGGGCTGCACAGATGGATGGCTACTTCACTGTCCCTCGGGAGAAAATCTGGATTCACTCGGCTCATGGCAACAAGAGAGAACAGTGATACCAGATTATCCACAACACAGAACAGTAAATGCAACAAATCAGGGGTAGGATGAGGGGGTGGGGGGTGATGCCAGTCAGAGCAGGCGTGAACATGCAGCTGGTGCTGCTGGTGTTATTTATGAGCAAATTTGGGAGCTAAACGAAGAAAAATAGAAGCCATAAGAGTTTAGAGATGTCAGAGCTGCAGGTAGAAAGAAGCTCAGTGTTCTCTCCACGCGAGGAGGAGCTCGTGTCCAGCCGACAGAAAAATGAAAATAAATGTTGCAACTTGTAAGTGCAAATCTCGCCTGCAACCTCTGGTGTATTGTTGCGTGTCCATACCTGTGGTGTTGGTCTTGGTGGTGGAGCCCTGCAGATTCTGCTTCACAGATACGTGAGGATTCTTTGTTGACCAGGATGTGCGTGTACTGTACTCCTCAAACCAGATTCTCTGAGTTTTCTGCAGGCTCGGCCCCCGCCTGCCTGCTAAAACAAATCATATGCATTAAAATATATCAGAAAATCCTCCTTGATCCCTGCACAAGCGTCAGCACAGTTATTGATCGTCTGTGGGTTTATTTATTCTGCCACAGTTTTATATAAAACCTTCCTGCCTGGTGCTACGAGGCTTCCTGGTGGCACAGTGTTTAAAGGCTTAGAGTTCTTTAGCTTTCATACGACTACACTCGGTTTTGTCGTTCATCCAGAGAACCAGTGATGCTCTTCTTTTATTGCCATGAAGAGGCAATTGTGGTGTCTGGTTTACTTAAAACTTAAAGTTTTGGTTAATCCCTGGTTTCCTGTTTTATTTTGAAAGTATTTCTTGTGTAACTCTTCATTGACTTCCTGTTTCATTTCCTGGCTTTATAATAGTCTTTCCCACCCTAACTGTTTCCACCTGTGCTTCCTCAGCCCTGTGTGGGTTCATACAGAGCCTCGTCTCACCTGATTTGATTGTAGTTGCACCGTGTGTTGGATGCTTTGGCTGATCCTGCGTTTCCTGTTTTGTGAGCTCCTTTCTGTAAGTTTAATTAAAGCTATTTTGGGATTTTTCACACCAGACAGTCGGCTGCACCTGGGTTTGTTTTGCAAAATTATTCTCATTATTCTTCTTGTCGTTTTCTTTTTAAATCAGAGAAGACTTTAACGTTGGTTGATCTGGGAGCGTTTATGGCCAAGTCGGTGTGTAGGGGGAAGAGTTGAAAGGCAGGTGGAGGTGTCATGGAGAGTGAAGAGAGTGACGGCTTCACACTGCAGAAACTTTGGACTCTTACAGATGTTTCAACCAGGAATCACTAAGAGTTGGATTTGAATCAGAGGGAGGCTCTGGCACTCTGGCTCTTATATCCACTCCCCAGCATCAGGTCCCGTTTGAAACCACGTAGACTTAAGTGGGTTATAAGCACCAGTGGAGGGTCACTAACCCCACAGCACCCGCTTTGTGTCCAATATGGAAGAAATGCCACAGATTATAAGTTATGTGCGATTATTTGAGGAAATTCACATAAATAAAACAAAGAAAGATGCTTTTGGTGAAGCTTGATATATGATTTTGTTTTTTAAAAATGCTATTAGTGTTTATTTTTATTTCTATAAATTCTAATAATAAAGAACAACAAGGAGGAAGAGAGTAAGACAGAATGATGTTAGCCATGCGCTGAAGCTCCTGTTTCTGAGGTGAGGACGTGCTGTGTTTCCACTTTTCCCCTTAATTAAGAGACCCTTCAAAAAGTGTGACTCAACATGATGTTGCAATCATCGACGAGTCAGAGGCTGTTGTCACTTGTGTCTGCTATTGATCGCAGTGTATTTGATGGCTCAAAATGTCTCATTGCAAATCATAATCCCAGCGTGAAAAATGATCGTTGTTAGTATTTAGTATTTATTTATTTATTGTCATTGTCAAGAACAATGAAATTGCGTTTGGGGCTTCCATACAACAGCTTGTTTACACATCAAAAACCCTTAAATGTGCAAAAATGTGTACATGGATAAATATACAGTAAAGACAGATTGGCCTCATCCTTGTAGATGCAGACACTTTGTCTGATTGTGTCACTCGGCTTCCGTCGTTCCCCGAACCTACTGACAGTCTGGCTTGGCAGCAGAGCTGAACCTAGATCAGATGTGACATGTTCCACTGTCGGCCCCTGAAACCCCTGCCCGAGCATCTGTCTCGTCCGGCCGCGCTGCTTATCGTCGGTGACATATCCCGGTTTGTTTGTCCCTTCCTCTCTGCTGCTGCCTGTAGTGGCTCAGTGGCAGGCAGAGGGTGTCGCAGGATGGAGGGTTGATCTGTGAAAAAGCCGATTTGGATGAAAACGTGAAGGTTTGTGGCCTTCACTCAACCTGCTTCAGCCTTTGACCCACTTAATGTGTCCGTGGGCATTTGTGCAGTAAAATCCTGCTCTGTGAGGTCCGAGGCCGGGCAGGTTTTCGTCATCTCCTCCCATCAGCAGCTGGCGTCTCTAATTAGCCCCGCCCTTCTTCCTCTTTGGTTGAATGTGCACAAAATCAGTGAAAACAGCTGCCTGGGAAGGAAAGCTGTGGTCAAGGAACATCAGTTTGTCTGATTGGAGGTCAGGGGCAGGAGCTGCAAACAGGTGGGGATGGGGCTGGAATTAATGTTGGCCTTTAATTAAATATCAGACATCAAGCTGTCGGCGAGCTACAGTCCTGACATGATGGCTGCTCTCAGGGGGCTCATGCAAACATCTCTGTTCAGAGGAGAGGAAGGTGAAATCATTATGAAAAGAGACAAAATATCAGGTTGTCAAACCTCCGCAGACGCGCCTGCAGACCGATGAATCAGCCATGTTGAGACAATATCGAGCTGTTGTTTGTAGGAAACATGACAAACATTTGTGTCTGACAAAACTCGACAAATACATTCGTTCAGCTCACTCTGCAACAGAGAGAAGCTCAGCATATCCCATATGTTTATGTTTAATAGATAAAAGATATCTTCGTTCCGCTGAAGGGAAATTTGAAACGCTGCAGCTCACAATAACATTTCAGGCCAGCTTCGGAGTTCCTGTTTCAGCGCAGCAGAGCACAAATCATCAGTTTAGGTTTGTAAAGACCCACGTTCCCCCAGCGGAGGGTCGCTGCACGCATTCAAACTGAAGTGAAGGCTTCAACGTGCTTTTCTTGGCTCCTTCTTTCCCGCTCATCTTCACAGCTGATGAGTGGATCGCCATCCTCGCAGAGACTCGTCCTGTTATTGGTTCATTCCTGTTGAAATGGGTTCCTTTTTCTTCTCACTGTCACATGGTGCTTTCTCAGAGGTCATCACTGGACAGGTGCTGTTTCTTCCTCTTGTGTTGCTTTTAGCAGCAGAAGCTCGTGCAGGTGGCTTCATTTTGTTTTTCCATTCCAATATTTTCCGATTCTCAACTCCTCGCAGATTTGAGGCGACACCTTTGTTACGGTCACCTGCTTAAACACCAGTTAGACCATATTATCATCTGCTTGGTGTGGAGAGCGTGTACCCACCACTGTCTGTTTTTCAGTCTCGTCATAAAACACA